GGGGAGGGTGCCCCGACAACGCGGGTCCTGCTTCTGCGACCCGATTCGGCACTGGGACCCCGCGCTCTCGGTCCCTTCGTTTCAGGAGTTCCCGCGGGTTGCAGAAGTTTCTTTAGGCGTCCTGAGGGCTTCCCTCGGGTGGGACCTCCATGCAGGCATTTATTTGGCCACCCGATCGCCCTTAAGGGGTCCTCGCTGCCTCCCCCCTCCACCCCCGCCGCTAATTAAGTGACGGACGCAGTAGCCAAGGAGACTTCCTGATTGACAGGCAAGGTTACCAACCGGCTTCCGGAAACTCCAGTCTGGGCCCGCCCGGCGCGTGGCCAGCGGCCCAATGAAAGAAGTGGAAGCACCAAAGGGGGAGGTAACGGGGCGGCCTAGGTTGTGGCGGTTCCCCGGTGATTGCGCGCTGGGGGAAGAAGCGTCTGCGGACGTTCGGATGATGCCGTGACGCAGCACAGCGACATTGTTGACAGCGTGAGCGCACCGCTGCGGAGGGAGTCTTCGGTCCTGCAGGCGGCGCGGCTTGGAGACAGGTTGCTTATAGAGAGTGCTCCCTCGAAGCCCTTCAGCGGGTGGGGGAGGGGCGGCGGACCGCGAGCGGTCCGGGTCTGCGCTTGCGCCGGCGCCTCTGCCGACCCGGCCCGCACGCACGCGCATGCTCGTAGTGCGCGGAGCCGCGGTGGCCGGCAGCACTGCGCGTGCGCGCCGAGGAGCCCGCTAAGGAGCGGCGCTGGCGGACGTCGGGCTGGCAGCCCGTGACGTCGTGAGGAGCGCTTTAAAGTGCGGGCCGGGCCGGGCGTCCGAGGCTCTGGCTGCGAGTCGGACCGAACCTCCGCAGCAGCCCTCCGCGGCATGAGGCGCTGCCGGCGTCCCTGCCCCCCGGGACGTGGAGAAGGTGGAGGAGGAAGAAGCCCCGTTATCGCCACCGTTGCATGACCCGCCACCCCTGAGGCCCGGCCCCTCAGCGCCCCTCGCCTGGTCCTCTGCCCACGCATGGGGGTTCGGCGCTGAGGACCCACTTCCCTCCGGGGGCCCCGGGGCGTGTCCCCCGAGCGCCATGCCCGGCCGCCCCGCC